ACACAAAAACAATTGAACAAACCCTCTTTATCAGATTTTTATGACAAAATCCATAATGTTGAAGGTGTTAATACACAACAGAGCATTTCAAATAGTTTAAACTGTTTTGAAATATATTTACTATAGGGAACTTTACAATTCACCAATAAAAAGCTAAAAAGGGGATTGTATTCATTTTATAAGTCCAAAGTCACCTGCTCCCAACCCTCACAGAGGATCCCCAAAGTCATCATTTTGCTTGGGCTCCATAAAATTTTACAACACCTATGTGCTCCATCTCCTCTAATAGGAAAACTCCAACCAAACTGTGTCTTTACAACCTCAACTCGGCTATATTTATGTAGTCTTTAAGATGGTTTAAGGCTAGATTGGGCATCCGATGAGAATTCTTCCTTTGGGTAATCAGTAGTGGTATATTTTTTCTTTTTTCTTTTTTACAAGGCTTGCGCTGGCTGCAGGGTGAGAGGAGTTTTGGATCAGAATAGATAAGCATGTAGTAAATTAGGCCAGCCACTTTTGGGGAGGCTGCAGCTGTTTACTCCACTCTCACTTCCACCTTTTATGCACAAAGTCATTGCAACATTCATGCTCTCTTGAATAATTCATCCGCAAAGATTTATGAAGAAACTACAGTATCTCAGCTGGAATATGTGTTGCATTTGTGTGTGTGTGTGAAGAGAGATAGAAACTGTTTAGTAGTTTCCCAAGGACCAGAAGAGCTCATGCCGTGACTGTTTGCCCCACTGTTGGAGCATATGTTGGAGTGGCTTTGGGAGGCAGTCCTAGTGGTTATGAGAAGAGTTTGTGTTTTTTTAGCATATGAGAAAGATGATGGAGCGGGTGTGCGTGTGCGTGTGTGTGTGTGTGTGTGTGTGTGTGTGTGTGTATGGCCGCCCGCCTGAGGTATGTTCCATCTGTTCAATGTAGCGTTTGCACCTCTCCGGTCTTTTTTCTGCTTTGTTCAGGAGGAAGAGTGAGGCTTGCATGCGTGTCTAGAGAAACATGATCAAGACATTGCTCCAGTTTGGGGAAATGTGTTTGAATGTGCTGCTTGTCACACGTCATACATTATCAATTGAAGGCAAAACAAAGACTTTTCTGTGCTGTTTTCCACATGTTGTTCACCCTGTGGAGTATGAAAACCCTGGGAACGACATTCAATTTCCCATTTGTTATAGAAAGAGCACTATTACGGTGTTGAAAGATACATGCCAGTCTCTATGACAAAGGAAGTTAATCCTTTAGGTCTTCTGTTTTATTTTATGAGAATCAATTTATTGACTAAAATCAATCAATGCCAGGAATGAAATGATATTAAAATAAATATGCAAGAAAAGTGTAGAGAAAAGCCATGTCGCTGTATAGAAAGTGTCCTGGATTCAAGAGTCACAGCTCTGCTACACTTTGTCGTCTAAAGGACTGTCCAATGGATTTGAAAAATGTAGCAAAACATCAACAAAGCACTTCAAGAGCTACAATAATGTGTTTTTCTTGTAATGTCTGCAAGATAATAGCTCTTTGTTTAATCCCACACCGGGAAAAATGTTACAAATATGTACTCCCAGATCTAGTCAAAATTTAAGTTTAGGGTATAAACTAAAATGTGTTATAATATTGTCCCACTGTGGCTATATGGTCAATACATTTTCCCCTATATCTCGTCATACTTATGAGTTTTGCATGTCTATTATCACCAAATCAAAATTATCACTTGGTTTTATGCATGATGCCTTTCCGTCTCCTCGTCACTGACCCTCCTCTCGTCATTTGTTCTTTCTCAGCCAAATTTTAAAACCATATTGCCATCATTTCTCAGCATCTCATCCCTAAGGTGTGGGGAGGGGGGTGACTGCATCGGCGTACAGTATACGAGCTCTCACACAAGTTGTTGTTTTAGCACTGTGTTTATGAAGAGATAATTGATGAGGGCAATGAGCAGCGGCATCTGTGACCTGAGAGAAAATTGTTTGGCGTATTTTTTTTGCAAAGTCAGTAGCTTTTCTTTCACTGTGAGGATAAACGGGAGTCTGTGGTGTTTAGGTTATAGCTATACTTCTTCTGTCAAATGGTGAAAATAAGCTGCTTTCCCAAAATGTTTTCAGAAATCTTTCTAAAAGCCTGTGTATGCGTTCACTCTATGTATAACTGAGAGTTTTAGTGTCTTCGAGGAGACGCAGAAAGCCATGTTCAAGTTGAATGTCCACACACGATACACGATGCAAGATACCGGTCTGTTTGATCACATACACACACATACAGGTGCACCACAAATATATATATATATATAAAAAAAGAATAAACTTAAAATCAAATGCGAAAACGCCAAAAAATGTCACACAAGTAGCCTATTTTGCTGTTTGATTGGAATAAGGACAATTTGTGTGAAATGTGTGTCCTTCAGAAGTCAATTTTAGTCTGCAGGAAAAATATAAAGCAGAAATAATCTTCTCAAAAAAAGTCTCTAAAATCTTGAATTTGAATGTGGGTTTTTGGGTTGTACCTGCCGTCAAAACATCCTCAATTGCAATATTTGTATCTTTCACAGATTTTTATCAAGGCTCTAAAATGCACCAATGGAGTTTCTTTGTTTCTTTCACTCTATTTACCGGATGAATATTATAAGGAATAGGGATTTTTTTCTGTCTTGGGAAGATCATTGCACACTGACTGTTATCCTCTTTCTTCTCTGAGATATGTGTGTACAAACTGCCATTGTTTCCTGTTGTAAAAAATGGTGTTTTCCTGATCCCTTTGTTCTGGTGCTGTACTGTTCTGTTGATGCAGTTTTAAGACCTCAAGCTTCACTTTTGGAGATGAATCTGGAAGCATCTGGTTTTGAAACTCAAAATAAAGACTTTTTTGGCAGCTGTTTGTAAACCGCTCGTGTCTTTGTGTCTTTTCTCCATCTCTGCATCACTGATCACTAATTATATTTTTTTAACATTCACAAACTCTTATCACGAGCTCAGCCATGTGATCCGATGACATCAATATTTATTATAAACGGGGTTTACTTTGGGTGCAATTTGAAATCACCAGAGCAAAAAGTTAAGTTTACTTTCTCAGTTTCTAAAAGATGGGAGAAAAGATGAATAGTTACAACTGCATTTTTCTTTTTTTTTAAGTGGAAATACCAGCCAATCAGAAACACTCCCCTATAATCATCATTAGTACTGTAACATTAACTCCACTGGGTGAATTCTGCTTTAAACCAAACACGCTGCAGGGCAAATGTTCTGTCCCTGGACACAATGACAATTAAAGTGATATGAAAAAGAAATATAATCAACATTGGTGACATAAGTATTCAAAACAGGAGCATCTTTGTGTGCCCACTATTGTCCCCTTTGTTTGCATGGGGGAGGGTTGAATGCATATCTCTGTCAATCCCAAAGCGTGTTTGAAAATTATAAATATGCAAATCATGTATTTGCTCAGAGCTGGATTGTGCATAGATTTGATATTTACCCAATGATCCTAAAATACTGAGCTCTGAGCGATGCTGGTTTTGTTTCTGAAATTCCAAGAGGCAGTTGATTCAGGGTCTGAACTGTTACAAAACAAAGTCATGAATATTTGTCACTGTAGTAAAAAGCCTTGTTAGACAATATAATACAGATAATTCAATTTATAGATAAATCAAAGTAAATATACTTTGACTCTCTTCATGGAATCATACCCATAGACTACAGTATACACTGGATATACACTGTACTGTGATCATATCAGAGGACACAGGGACCAGGTCCAGAAACATGCAGCAGCTTGTTCTTGGTTGCCCTCCAGTGTTCAAATTGTGAATGGCAGCCTGCAGAATATCCCAGTTTCTTTGTTTGTGTAAACGAAATGTAAAGATGTATAATGTATTTATTCAATAAAACACAGGTGGTAGTACAAACTAGAAAGACAATACGATGTTTTACATCAGTTTAATTTGTGTAGAATTCATTGTAACAGCATTTCCAAAACATCTTTGGCGCATTTCTTTGTCATATGTTAGTTTTGGATCCAAGGTACGATTTTAGTACAGAAGTGATTTTAACAACATTGTTATCAAAGAAATTATAACTTAACCCATCAAACAGCCTCTGCACAGTATTCAATCGCTCAGTTTGTCAAAGCTCCATCATTATGGGCTCATATTGATCTCTTGGTTTAATGGAACTTTACCTTCTATCTCCACATGTGAGTCATTTGAACAGGGAAACAGCAGTGTCTCTGCTCAGTGCCATGATGTCGGTGCTGCTGGTCCTACCTCTCTGACAGAAACAATGAACAGTTGTTCAAATATTGACTGTGGAGGAGGCATTTCTTTCACTCTCTCCTGGTCAAGGCTCACTCTGTTTGCTTTCCTCGTGCTGATGCTGCTGTTTTTCCGCCTCTACCTCAGCACAGGATCACCTTTCTGCCACTTTCCACAAGTGGGAAAATGGCAGCTTTTGAAAACAGAATGTATTCCCAGTCTTGTAATAAAGTGCAGCACATATGACAGAAAAGACAAAGTCAATTCATACTTTGTTGTTGTCAAGACCTGTCAAAAGTCATGTTGAAATACTTTGTAACAACCCTTGAAGAACAGTGATACTTTAGGAGGAGTAATACCTTGTGATGTGATGTTACTAATTTTACTGATTCTCTCTCTCAAAACCCCATCTTTACAACTTAGACTTAACTTTTGCCTCTCAAGATCAGAATAAATGTATGCATGTTTGAACCTGTCACCATATTATGAAAAAGTAAACATTTCTTATCCAAGGATTAGGGAAACAAAAGGAACAAAAACAATGGCATTAACATCGACAAAGGCGAGAGAAAAACCAGACGTCCAAACACACATCGACAAACGCTCTCTTTACTCAGTTCACTCTGTAGTTCTGGAGAAGTCATTGGCCTCTATGACAAAGGAGGCTGGCACACACCGGAGGAGGGGGAGCAATCGTGGGCCGTCCAGGGGTCACAGCTCAAGTGGACGTGGGATTTGGGGGGTCTGGAGGAGGGTCTCAGTGCATTAGCGTCTCCTCTTCAGCGATGGGCTCAGGCGGACTCAATAAAGACGCTGTGGTGGTGTTGCTGTTGTCCATGTTGTCGGCTTCGGTGGGCGAGGTGGCAGGGGCCATTTTAGTCTGGAGGAAACATCCAAAAACATTGTAATAACTGTAATAAAATGTCATACAATTGATGGATTTATGCAGTTTTTCATCAAGTTTATGTTTTTGTCCTTTTCAGACTTCACTTGTTCATAAATGTTTCATAAATACATTTGATTGGCCCCGACAGAAAGAGTCATTCTTGTGAACAATTCAGACTTTATCACTGAAAAGACTTAAGCCAAAAGTACAGAGTGATAGAACCGTATTGAGAGCTAGGAACTAGTTACATGGATTATATTGCAGATGTATTTTTTGTAGTTTCAAAGGTAGGTATTCTAGCTTTAACAACAACACCAACCGTAAACACATTATCAACTAAAACTATAATGCCACATAACTGCAACACATTCCTGTAGTGATCAGGTAAAAGGCAACAACAACAAAAATCGTAAAAATGTTATGTCTGATTCAAAACACTGGTATTGGCTTTGTAGTCCCCCCCCCACACAATGTTCCAGATGGTATTGGAATTTCCTGTTATGAATTGAGGCATTCTAGTCATTTTTCTGCATCTATGTACTGTAACATGACATACATATACTTATTTATTTATTTAATCTTTTATTCGGTCACACAAAGGGTCCATACAAAACATGAGAGCAAATAAATCCTACTTAATTTAAAATGTCCTGGTTAAACTTTGTGTGGCATGACGGACAAATGCCATATAAAGGCAGAGGCAGACCTTATAAAAGATGGCCAGGACCAACACAATGGAACAAAATGCTAGATATTTCCTGTGTACATTCCTGTTGCATGTTTGTTGTTATCTACGGAGCTCCTTCATGCTGACAAATCCATTTTCCTAGAACACTAACCACTTTACCCTGGTGTATGCGGCCGTTACCTTCAAAGTCTCCACTTTCTCCTCGAATGACTTGAATCCTGCCGTGTTCCTGAGGACAGAAACACAGAGGGTGCTTAATGAAAGAAAAAAGTGCAAATAGACCGGTGGCAACTGTATCTTTTCAGGTCATGCTGTTACCAGATACAGATATACAAGACTTTTGAGGTGAGTTCATTCTTTCCTTGTGAATTGAAAACGTCCCATGAGGTGTGAAGGAAATTCAAAAGTCACCTAATATTCACAGCAAAACAGCAACTGCCGGTATAGCAACCCACTCAAGTCGCAAAAAGTACTGAGGAAGTATATTTCTTGTTTATGGAACTAGACTTTGTGAGTGACGCGTGAACCGAGGCCTGGCTGTGACAGATAATGAAAGCTGGACCTTCACAGATAGCTGCTAATATGGATCCAGGCCGCACGGAGCAAACATGTGGCTCTTTTACTGCATCTCATGTGAAACGCTAGTGTGACTTTGGAAAAGATCTGATACCACCTAACTGGTCACAAGAAACCTTTTACAGTTAAACAAAAGAAGACTATTTTCTTTGAGCTTTTTTGTTTGACTTAAATACACTGTGATCAGAAAGTGTATTGTTAATAAAGGCTTGAGAGTTTAATTTTTCTTTCAGTTTCAGCCAGTGGTGCGTCATCTCTTGGTGCGATTTCTTTCAATGAAAAAGAAGTGCCATTAGAGCTGTACAGAAGAGGGAACTACAGGTTGTGCGGTTGCACAACATATTGTAAAAATATTGTAATTGGACAGCACTGAAACACTGAAGATTTGAGTGTTGCCCAAACTTTAGGGCAATCATGGAGAAAAATTATAAAAATAATGAATCTGAATAGTAAAGTATACATCAACTTACCTCATCACTGGCATACTAGCCGAGTGTTGTATTGAGCGCATGCTATCGGAAAGCATTACGGAGAAGAAAGAGGAGTTAGTTGGAGAAAAAGAGACCGAGATGGCAGAAAAATGCATGCCCTGTGTATTCACCCTTATTTATTTTACCACACATTGAATGAGAGCAAATAAATCCCACTTCATCCCATTAAGATCGATTGTGTAGTAACTCAGTGGGTGTGTGTTAATCCTATGTATTACGGGTAAATCTTATTGTCAAACACACACATGCAGCAGAATATATGAGCGCACACACGCACGCACACACACACGCACACACTTATACTTAAACCATTTGACCCCGCACTCCCACCCACCCCCTCCGCAGCCCCCCACACCAGGCCTGGCACAGAGCCTCATCCGTGAGGGTGCATTTCTCAGCACACTGCAGCTTTCAGGGGCCTAATAATCTTGTTTGCAGCCCAGTAATCCAGAGAGAAGAAGGATGACAGGAGAAAAGACAGATTAGAACCTAGGGGCTAAGAGGGGGGCCGGGGTCAGCAAAGGGCACGTCCCAAAGTGAGCAGTCCATTGTGGATCTCTCAAAACATTAATATCTTCATCGTTCATTAAAGACAGCCACAGATGTGAAGGAAGACAATGAATGAATAATAAAATGACCTGCTGTAAATAAATGATGAAGATTATGTTGATTAATTATAAAAACTGAATCCATAAACATAGATGTATTAACTGTATACTGCATTGTTGCATATTAGTGCTGCTAACAGACTTTGATAGATGTTGTGTTTCTTGTATTATTTCATTTGAACAAGACTACATGTATAATCCCCACTGCTGTCAGACTGTACAATAAGTCATGTTAAGTCACTAATGCACTAGGACTGAAAAACCTGCACTGCTATTGCCACTCTTTCTTTTATGGCCAGCATATATATCCTGCACAGACTACTATCTGATTGACTCTATCTACGCCAAATGTGACATGCACATTTCTCTAGTTTGAGATCAATAAAGTCTATCTTATCTTATAATGTCGTGCAAAAATACAAATATAAAAAGCTGTAAAGATTCGGGAGTTCATATCATATAATGGCTGGCTGACTTCCTTCATTATAATAGAATACTCTTGATAGATTATATGGCTAAAGGAGTGTGATGAAACATAGTCCACAGCATTCATGTGTGTAAGTGCGGGTGACAGGTGAGATGAGGCTGGGGGCTCACCTCACGTCCTCCAGCTTGCGGCTGATGGCTGAGCCCACGGTGGAGAAGGCGGCTGTGGCCTTCAGACTGGCCTGAGACAGAGTTTCAGACGTTCTTCTGTAACTGAAAGAGACGCAGGAGGATGTCAGAGCACAGTGAAAAGAGGTAATAGATTAAAGTGGAGAAGGTTTCAAGGCCCGCAGCCAATGTCAGCTTGTTTTTCATCGTCACATGCCCTGAAGAAACGCTCATATCCTGCTATGTGAAGCATGTGCACCTGTTGTACAGCTCTCACAGGCTGCATCAGGCATAAGAATTACAGAGGGCTCTAAAGGTGAGACAATGGATGTTTATTGCCATTTTAAGTCAAGCCAAACAATGGGGATGTACTTACGCAGTGGAGGTGGTGACATCCTGCCAGGTTTTAGTGATGTTCTGCTTGATTTCATTGAGAGGGGTTACTCCCAACTTCCTCTTCAAGTCCGCTACCTGTTTTTCTTTGGCCGCCAACACCTGTGACAGAGTCTGGATCTCATCTTCAACCTGCGGACAGCGACGCCAGCTACATTATACAGTCAACCTAAAAGACACTGTCATAATTTATCACGGTAAAGTTATTTCTCTTCATCTTGTTCATGTTTTGTTTTGCGTGTATTAAAATCATCATCATGTATGTAAACCACTAAAATCAGCAGGTAAAATGGCCAAAATATAAATAGTACAGCCACTACAACAACAGCTGAATATATCACATAGACATGATGGTGATTTTTTACAGATACACTGATGAGGAAGTGTGGAAGTCTGAAATTGAAACCTAGCATAAACGTATATAGGGATCAGAAAGAATAAAAGTTGAATATAGAACTAAGCCATAAGTCATCTTGTCTTTAGTAAAGCAAAATTGTAAGGATAAGGTTAATACATTGTCTTTTGACCCTGAAGGTAAATGTGTCTCATGCTGCAGGGAGGACAAATTTACCTTCGGTCAAAGAATTCATTGTGTAAAAGCACTTACTCTAAGTGTGTTTAAGTGTTTAAGTTTACTTCTGCCTACTCCTTCTGAGCTCTATGTAGCACTTATACAAACATTGTCTTTTTCATGGTACTGCTCTGACCTCAATTAAACAATCTGTGAAAATCTCTGTCTTAGCATTTTAGCATTTGCATTCTTTATTTGGAAGAATTTGGCGTCAGATATCGCTGCTGGAACTGTTTGTGTCTGAGTATAATCAAACAATCCTTTCTCTTAAACAAGTACGGTGCAGGGTCAGGCCTGTTGTTACCTTGAACAGCTCCTCCTGCAGCTCCAGCCTCTCCTCCTCCGTCATGGCGGGCGGCAGGACTGGCGCTCCAACACTGGTCACTGCATCTTCTCCCACTTCAGGCGCAGAGTCAGTGAGCAGCTGTGAACCTGTGAACATTCACAATTCAGCAGTTACCTTGGATTTCACTCATTTTGTGAGCGTTTTGAAGCCACAGGCTTAAGTGAACTGTCAGACAATAAGGCAGTGTTTACAGAGGGGGCCATCAGATGCACAACTACAATAGGGAGGATGCTAAAGAATGCCTTTTGATGATAGGTGTGTACCATGAGGGACTTCCGTTTCATCTGCCAGCATCGCAGTCATCATACACCTTTCTTATTTCCACGCAGCAGCAGCACAGCAGGAGGAGTGCATCAATAATACAAAATAACTGTTCTTGATGAAGACATCCTGAGCTTGACAGCGTGAGAGCCAGAGAGTTGTAAGGATCTATCACTCAAATGGACAAAAGTGGAAGTGAAGAAGAGTTTCTCTGGAGTTATCTTTCCGTATGAACAGATCTGGGATTTAAAAGAGTTTAAAAGTGAGCTATAAACAGGAAACAGAAGGGGGTTAATAAAAAAAAACAATATGAGGAAAGAGGTCAGAGGAACTGTTGAAACATTAATTTTGAACACAACACTAGTGTTGTGGAGTAAATCATTATTCATGTAACATTCACATGTACTGAAAAGTACTAAGACCTTATAACCTTATTTACAGCAGCACTTTATTAAAGAGCTTGGTAAGGTTGGTATACATTTTCATTAATCCACATTACAGAGGATATGTATACCGCTGCGACGGCTTCTCTACAACTCATTTAAATAGACATTATTCAACTCATTAACTCCATTAATAGAAATGTTACAAACAAATTATGCTCAGATCAGTGCTCGCAATAACACACTTGTGTTTACGACTGAGGAATGATGTTTAATTGTAATGTGGTGAGCCTCTGCCAATACATTTGTGTCACATATTTAAAATAAACTGTGCAAAATCTGCAACATTTAGTGATACTATGTTGTATATTGTCAATGTTGATGAGCGTGTGTAAAGTTAGCAAATCTAATTTAGTTTGAGCTATGAAACTGATGGCTGTTTTTACCAATATAGAACTCTGTCATGTATTTTGCATGTCCCAGGACAAGACATTTTCACAGAGACAGATGAGCATTGGATGATAACAGAAAAAGCTATTCACATGACTGGGCTAAAGCTCCCACAAAGAAAATAGAATTTAGAACTAATTGTCTAAAGAACTCAAAGCAGATAAGTACTTGAGTCTAAAAATCCGATAATTTGAGAGCTGGGCCCAATCATTAGCCGTCTGTAAGATAATTAATGTCATGGGAATAACAAGAGCTGATTGCACACTACACGAGCAAATATTTATCTGTCAGAGCACGCTCAAGAGAGGCATCCCAATGGAAATAAAGAGTCTGTTTTACTAAGAAAAATAGAAAAGGGGAACCGCAGGAATGGCAGAGGGAAATGCTACAAAATGGCTGTTCCTTCACATCCTTGACGTTTTGTGAGCAGTTACAAAGGCCCGGCCACATCCCTGATAGTGGCTCATCTTGTCTTACATGTGTCCTCTACTCCTATTACTGTAAAGCAGCAAATGCCTCAATGCCATCCTGTGTGCTGCATGTGCAAAGGGCACTGATGTACCAGCGAGCCTGACAAGATATTCACTTTATAGGCACAAAACTTGAATTATTAAACCACATAAAGCTAATATGTTTGGCTTCTTAACCACTAAACCGCAAGAAGACTGTCAAACGCATCTCAGCTAATTAAAATGTGAAACCACAGACTACACAACTTCAAGAACATGTCTGGAAGGTGCCACAAGATTATCTCTCTGTAAAAGACAATGGAGGCCAAGGGTCAACAGAGAACTGAAAGTAAGAACTAGTTAAAAAAAAAAAAATCTTTGTGATGCAGAAATGGAGAGCGGAAAGTACTTTTACTACTTTGTGCAAAATGTAGAAGAGAATGTATGGCAAAATGTCAAGCCACGTATGACCCAGTGATGTGCAAACAATGGATGCATTCATGAAAAATAGTTTTAGTAGTGTGAGAAGTACTGTCATAAATAAGACAAAAAGCTAATATGTGACGTTGTAAAGATAGAATAGCATCCCCGACGTTTGACAAATAACTCACAAAACAGCATCAGATTACAAGGCCAGGGCAAAGTAAGCAAACAATACATTTCTACAAACAGCTTTGTATACAAGCCACTGACAAGAACAGGCTAAATTATCAGATGGCATGACTACTGCGAAAATGAAATCAGGCACTTATCATTTGCCCCCTCCCCTTTATAGATCCATTCAAACTCATCCCAGAGAGAAACTTGTATCCACTGCCTGCCATCACTCTTACCTCTGGTCTTGGATGCTGGAGAGTTGGGCGGCGTGTCACTGTAGGCTGGGGACAGATACAGGTAACTGGTGTTGACACCTTGCTCAAAGTCAAAAGGAGACTGATACTCCTCTAGCGGCTCCATATCTACAGCTGTAACTGCCTATGGGACAAATACACACCGCCTACTAAAACTACTGCCACCTCCGCACCCCCACCGCTGTCCTGATTGAGTGCATGTGATCCGGGCAGGTCCTGTGTGCTTCCGTGTCTCACTGCACAGAGACTTGAGAGTTGTGTGCACTCAAACTCATCTTTCCCTATGTTAATAAGTTACCATTGTCTTAAAATCTGCTATCCCAAAGGTCGCCCGCGTGTCCATTCAAAGAGTGCTGCTGATATTGCGTGACACCACATTCTCAGGTCTCCTAACTCCCTCCCTCTTTTCTTTCTTCCATCATCAGCGTGTCATTCAGGGAGGAAAAAAAAGGGTCCCATTCGGCCGGACCGTTCACGTGACAAAAGTGATGGACCAGAAGGGGGTGAGGGAGAGGAGGAGATGAAAAGCGGTGTAATCTGCGGTGTCCCAGATTACAGCCAAGCGCTAATCCACAGGAGGCAGCAGCAGCGGCAGTAATACCAGTCAGTCAGAATAGAGGAGAGGATGCCCAAGGCCAAGAGTGTGTGTGAGTGAAAGTGTGCTTTGGTGCTCAAACATGCATGGGTAATTTGAACTTGTGGAAAATGAAATAATATAAACAGTATATCCTTCAAAACAGTTCTAATAAATATGTATGCAGTAACAAAAACAAAATGTGTTTGGTACTTTCAAATCTCATAATGACGTAAAGGACAACTACAAATCAAATAGATAATATTTTTGAGTGACAACAATTTTGGAAAAACTGTAAAAGGTTGAGGCAACACAATGATTTAGGATTTGTTTACCTAAACAAATTATGTGTTTTATCATCAGTACGATATTTATGTAATGGTTTAATCAACACTATACTTTTTTAAAGCAGTTATGGCCATACATAAATTTATTTAAGATACTTTAACATATGATCCTTTAGAAATATGATCATAAGGAACGCGCTAAATGTGGTGGTAGTATAATAATTGCTTGATTTAATTTAAATTTGTTATTTTGTAATAACTGTTTACATTTAAAGGTGCACTTTGTGACTTTTCTGAGAGGGTAAGTGCTGGTCTGTTCATGTGAAGAATTATAAGAAATTGTAAATTTCTCCATTGTGAGATCAATAAAGTTTATCTTATCTTATGACTATATTCACACCAGGAACAATGTGAGATGATACATGATGGTCTCACAGTGTTAAACCATGAGCTAAACTGGTCCCTGCAGCCTTGATTAACAGCAAATCTTGTGACATTCATTGCAGAAATCACTGGTATGTGAATGTTGGCATTGACTGAAATCGTGTTATTTGGATGGTGCAGTGCATCGATGAACAGCAGTGCTTTAAATATACACCAGAATGTAGCCTTGGACTAATTTCCATCCTTTGTCTCAGTCACAAACCATGGATGATTTATACCGTCAAAAACACTCACTCACTCTGAACTATTGTACATGATTTTAGAGGTATAGGAAACCGGCAAACCCAGAGGAAAGCTACGAAGACACAGAGGGAACGAACACAGAAAGGTCCAGGTGTAGGTTGAATGTAACCCAGAACCTTCTTGCTAGGCGGTCATTTTACTTGATTTGTGAATGTTCAATTTGAGGGGAAGAGAGAAAGATAAAAATATTACCACAAGGTACAGTGCTAACCATACTGAATAATTCACTATTCAAACCTTACTTTTCATCAGAATTATTTAATCTTTAAACAACCACTGTCCACTGTGCAGACATTTTGACGATCTTAATAACCCACTGCACGACTTTAATTACTTACTTTCGTGGCCTACTGTGTCACATGATGGGAAAAAACAAGAAACACGAGACAGAGATGTCTGCCCACGCAGCCGCACAGTTCCCCCCTACATCGTAAATTATAAGACAACAAAAAGCAGGTTCTTATCGGTGTAAGACAAATGTATCAGGAACTCAACCGATATTCATCTATACTACAGATTATCAGTAACATCTAAAGAAAAACACACATGTAGGTTTAGCAAAAGCCCTTCTGTTCAAAAATAAGAACTTGAGCTCTGTAAATAATAAAGAGTGAGATAAATCCCAACAACAGCTTAACAAAAGTGATTTCCTTGGCTTTGTAAAAAGAGCAGCACCACACAGTGGATGGAGGCAGCACAAACCAGGAGGACAAAAATAATACTAGAACCATCATTCAATGCCTCGGTATTTTTTTCAGCTAAACCTGATGGCCTCAAGTCCAAGATATACTTTTTTGGATTATTTAACACACTTGTATCAAAGAAAAGGAGATTGTATTGCAGTTGTTCTATCAGGAGTGAGCTATAAGGATAGATCTTTCAACAAGACAGTTCTGAAGACACAGAGAAGGAGCGAGGAGACTGGACTGTGACCTGCACAGAACGCTTCCAGTGTTCTCCTCACTGTTGTGGTTTACTGAAATTGTATGAGGCCGGTTTAGACACAAGTGTTTATGGTAAAGGTGCACACTGTGGCAGATGTGGGGGCAATAAATGAGTGTGGGGACAAACAGATTCAGTGCTGGTTTGATGGGTCTGTGTCTTGCTAACAATATTGTTGCCCATTCATGCTGTAGTATGTAAACTGCGACTGGAGTTTGGTCCTTAGAGCCCTGTGGCGAGTGCTACATTTCTACTATCATCAGATGTGTATTTGAATATTGTATGCAGAAGTTGTATAGATCCAAAACTCTGACGGTATATGATCGACACTCAAAGCGCCTCCTCATCACAGCTGTAGGAGAGTTTGTGCTTACAGTCATCACAATCTCTTTATTTACCCACATTATGTTTGGCCTGTGGGACAAAAAATTTCAAATTTATGAAGCAGCTGAGGGAAATATGGCTTTTTAAAGTAACTGTTTCTAGATGTTTTTACTAAAACAAAGCATGCACAATACGTTGATAATTTACGCAATATGGCCTTTCATGGCTTTGGCGTTTACTGCTATCTTTGGCCGCTGTATTTACACTGAACACGGCTCGGCAAAAAGACGAGGCCGAAAGGTGAGTTGAAAGCCAAGTCCAAAGAGGACACAACAGCATGGGGCGGACAGTGTGAATGGAAAGGCCGGGGTTTTTGGTCAGTATGAAGCACAAACAACATACAGGACAGTGTTTCCTACTGTCTGACTCCCTCTGACCTCAGCTGAATGCTATCACTTGTGTCCAGAAATCTAATTTCTGCAAAAATGTTGTTCTCCTATGACCAATCAGGCAAAACAACCCAGAGGGTCAAAGGAATTAATTTGAAAAAAAAAAAAAATCTGTCCTGAGTTCCATAAATAAATATACAAGTTAAATGTAGCATTTTTAAATGTGATGAAACTTGTTTGGGCAATATCAGTCCTAGTGTCCAATAACGTCTGCAATAATAATGCCCTAGAATTATGGATAAAAGGTTCAGTTCTAATGGTACCAAAAATGGTTGGAACCAAAAAATTGGGGAAAACATAGTTCATAACATAACATAGCAGAGCATTGTAGCAAATTACTGGGCAGTTTTAACTTTAAATTTAATACAATTGTAGAATAGAATGTATTATGAGTATGTGAAATTATAATTTACAGCAAAACCATGGAAACAAATCGCTTACAAATCTGTGTCACAAAAATAGATATCGTTCAAGAACTGGGAAAGGCCCCCAGGTTTCCAGACCTATTTCCTTAAAGCTAGATTAACTCAATAACATTCTTTACAGAATTTGTACTGAAAACATCTTTATGGAACTTATAGATGTTTTAAAAGTCCACTCAGACTATGTGTTAGTCATAGGTCAAATCTAAATCAATAAGGTTGGAAATCAACAGGAATGTGAGGACAGACTGGTTCCATCGAGGACTCAAAGAGGAACTGTGGTCACGGGACACTACCCTTCACTGCTCTGAGACTGTTATTTTACTTAATCACAAGTGTAAACTATGAGACAGTTGACATCTGTTGAAAAGAAAAGGATAGATGTCTATACTGTCTAAAGTATTCCCCCCTTACTTCATAAGAGGGAACTAAAGTTGAGTAATCAGAAAATTAACTAATGCAATCACCCAGGCAGAGCCATAGAGTTTGTGTGACAATTGTAACCTGGTCTAGGAGATGAATGTAAAAGACGAAAACTGATGAGGGAAGCGGAGTCAATGATGACTGTGCAACATGACAGGAAATGTGTGTATTAGACTGAAACACCTAATCAGAGGACTTGTTATTGATGTCTAAAACAAACACGACTAGAAGAGTGGATTGCATTAGTGTTTGTCTTCTTTGCTCAATAAGACTCCAAAAGGTGTGTTCCTTGATGAACTGGAATAGCAGCAGACAGTGGCCTACAACAAACACACTGTCAGGTACAAAGCTAAAGCTATTCTTAAACTGTACAAGCCTAATACAACACATTCCTATATAGAAACATAATGCACATTGCACCTGAGTCGTTAGACCAATATAGTCCTCATTCCAGGCAAAAACAATGTATAATTACGTTGTTTGATCGTTGTTAAAAGCTGCCAGCGACTTGGCCAAATGATATCTAGATTAGCTGATAACATCGCACATAGTTTAGCTAGAATGTAACTTCCTTCTGTTTGCTACTGACTTGTGCTCCATATGGTCTTGACTCCTTCACAATGAACAAAGTTTACACAAAGTTTAGTAAGTTTTAAACTAAAGTTATTTTCCGTCATTGAAACACGAGAAACGCCCTGGATGCGTGTGTTACCTTTATCTGCATCTTCCATGGTACAGAGTTGCGGCTTTTAGAGTTTGTAGAGTTTTCGTGCAGGTCTTTGACTCTGTAGTCTTTCACTGCGACAGATCTTCCTGTTCACAGAGCCGCTGGTTGCCAGGCAGCTCGACGTAAGGCGTGGGGCTGGCTCTGACGTCATGACGCTGCAGTGTAAACACGAGCGAGCACGTGGATGTTTAGGTGATCAACAACTAAACGATGTCAACTAACATTTGTTTAAGGACAACATTGTGTATGGTAGTTATGGCCAATAAAAGGAAACATGCTACAATGGGCCTCTACCCTCTTGATTTTTGGCTAAATTGGCTTAAATATATAAAAAGAATGAATACGAAGGTATTACACGAACTGTACTATTGTTTATATGATCAAATGTTCATGTTCAAATAATGCAGCAGTGGACCACTTTTTAATGAAATGACAACTTCACTTTAGTAATTATATTATTCACTTCAAAGTATGTGGTAAGGATATATGATATAATGTGATTCTGCTACGTGCTCTAAATCTCACATCACTGCTCCAATAAGGCTCTTTTAGACTGTCGATTGGTATCAATGGTATCAGTCAATAAAAACGCAGTTTCAACCTTTGACAACTGCTACAAGCACACCATGAAACACTGCCATCTACTGGGCTTTTTGTAAATGGTCACACTTTTTTTATTCATTTGTAAAGTATGCGTTTATGTGTTTATTTATTTTTTTTTTTTACACAGACTGTTTCATTTGCGTTGATCTTGCCGCTGTGACCGGCTTTAAGTATACTTGGCAACGTTATGAAATAATTACAAAAGTAACTAAAAGACAAATAAATGCAATAACATATTTACAAAAGGCCTTTTGAAATCTTGGCTGATTTCATTGAAATGTATCATTATATTATACATTATATAATGATAAAACCCATAAACCAAGGATAGGCTTTTGAGCTTATAGTTACCACGGATCCGCCCCGATTTATTATCACTGAGTGTTATGGGGAGCAGCAGTGTAATGGCCATAATACAAGGAAACGGCTTCAGATGAAGGGCATACGGGAAATGGGTGCAGCTTTTGAACACACAAACTCAAATGAACAGCACCCCCATCCTGGTTTAAAAGCCGCCCCCTCGCTCCGTCCCAGCCCCCCTGTCCCTGCTCGAGGTGCATTGTGGGGAGGGAAGTCGCTGCCATTCGACCTCTGCGGGGCCTGCGCGGACGCAGCAAGAAGAACCTCAAATTCATTATGCCTTTAAAACCTCTATTTATTTCCGCATAACCTACATACTCTCACCGGGAGGGCCTCGGAGAAGAAACGACACGACGACTGGCCATCTCCCGCGGAAGAGACATCGTTTATACTTAAATTATTTGTTTTGGATGAGCGTAGCGTTAGGAAAGTACAGTTTGACATTTATTTTAGGTTAAAATGTCCGGGGAAAGAAACCGCAGGTCTCTGGCTTTCCGGGGCGGTGGAGTGGCCGCGTTTGTGGGGTCCAGTGTCGGGAACAGCTGGGAGGCCCCGGCCTGTCAAGAGCGACGTGTGAACGGCACCAGGCCGGACCAGGACGAGTACGGGGATCTGAGCACCACTGGACCCACACAGAAGAGAGCGGAGAGCGACAGCACCGGGCAAGAGGCAGAGGCAGAGGAGGAGGAAGAGGACCCGGAAGGGGGCAGCTGGCCATCGGGGAAACAAGAAGACTGTCACCGTGAGGAGCAGGAGGAGGAGGGCTCCGCTGAAGGGGCGAGCTGGACGGCTCCCATCAGTGCCGACTGTCTGGAGCCTGGGAGCGGCAGCGAGTCCAGGAAATCTGGGGTCGAGATTAGACCGCAGACTCTGCTCCAGAGACCCGCACTGTTTCACGCTTCATGGCTGCAGGAATTCCCCTGGCTTAAATTCTGCCAAGAGACAGGGCTAATGTCGTGTTCCTGGTGCCACAACATTGGCACAAAAAACAGCGACGAGCTGGTGAAAGGCAGCCGTAACTACAAGCGGGCCCTGCTGCTCAGGCATCACCTGTCGTCGGAGCACGGTAGAAATGACCCCACCAAGCAGGTACTTTTATACTTTAACGTTGCCTACTTTTGTTAAATTCATTCTAAATCACTAATGCCATCGCTTATTACATTATATTGTACATCATTAAGTCGTGGCGAGTGTATTATAGTGTATGTGTCCCACAGAAACCCCAACATATGCGAAAATAGACTACCTAAGCCCCACAATCCTTCTCTGGGCTAATTAGCTTTCTCAACCCTGCTAACTTGAGCTAACCACTAGCTTAGCCGCCTAGCCACTTGCAGCTCTGCTCAGTGTTGAGTAGTGGAAAGGCTAATGTGTAACAGAGTCAGTGAACAAGACAACCTGGGGCTTTAATGTAAGCGTGCCTGTTTCCCATTTCTCCATTTGTTATGAGTACTGCCACAATATGCAAAATATGGCTAGATTAAAGAATTGACAACATAATACAGTCACTGTAAGTATGACCTGTCATCTGATCTGCAGTATGAGTAAGTGCTCCATAAAGCGTGGATTTTATTCTTGTCTTGAATAAAATGATAATTGAATGATAATTGAATCAAATAGTCTGATTGTACAATATGTTCTACTTTAGTTTTCCAGGGGTTGAACACTCGCAAGAGGTCATATGAAGGCAAAGGTTTGACCCTAACAACCTTTGGGGAACCGCACCCCTGTCCCAACCCCCCTTGCACCATTGCCTGTGATGCTCTGCTCTGTAGGCTCGCAGTCCGGCTTGACCTTTGTGTCCCCCCCTCCTCCTATTTGGGGCAGCTAAATTAGAAGCATTGTGCTAGATGACCCCCCCAAAATCCATAGATGGTGTCACTCGCAAGGCTGGAAGGGAGTAAATTATGTTGCCTGGAGCTTGACAGCTTGCCAGAAATAAATGCTGTGTGCTTCAATGGCTTGAATCAGGCAAATACATGTCTCTAATAAGATGTCACGGCATCACCTGACTTGGGACCCTGGGTATTTCCGTATTAATGGGCCTTATTGTTTTTCCTTTGGGTCATAGCTCATGATTAGAGCCCCATCCCGTTGACACAATCTGTGCCGACCACTGTTCTCATCTTATAGACTGTCATGCAATTATCCCCTTACACATTTTTCGAGGACCATCCCCACATTACGGTACCCTTCTTGCCTAAAAGTCTATACATAGTTAATAGTGTATGTATTGCCACTTAGGTGGCAAATGTTAATGGAGGTCAGCAGGTAATCTGTTTATAGAATGTATTAGTTTTGAAAACATTCATTGTAAGCATTAAAATAAATGTCCGGCACTATTTGACCAATATGTTTACAAACATTTGAACAAGATTTTTTCTTGGGCTGATGACTGAACATAATTATAAGAAAAAATATAATAATTTCGACAATACTTCTACAACTACGCTTATAATCATTCATCATTAGGTCATTATGGTAACGATACACTTTGTTCCGTATCAAACAGTCTTTCTACTTCAGTTTGCATCGATGGGCTGAAGTTCTCGATGGTGTTGAGAGTGGCTGCTATTTGACTGATTTGTGAGCGAAGAGGATTGGCATACTACATTTAGTCCCTTTCTTGGTACACGCGATCACTAATCAGCATGACTTAGTGATCCACCAACTTGCACACATGTCTAATTGGTAAGGAGAGCAGTGGGAGTGGATTAGGGGCTTGGTGTGACTTTTCCTTAGCAACAAGGACCCCAGACACTGAACTCAGAGGTTACCAAGGGAAAGGCAGTTGGATACCTAACCAAACAATAAATGAAGCCCCAAAACTTATCTCCAATTATCACCAATTTCTTTACATATTAGACCACACCGCTATCCTCACCACTCAAACGTTGAAACTTCACTATGTAGAAGTATATTCAGGGGGCTATTAGTATTATGAGTCAATGTCTTGTTCTGTTCACCCATTCCTAACATTAGTCAGGCCTGTGCTGCATTCGTTAAAGCTAACTCGATTAGCTTTAGCACACCAGGGCAGCTGTGGTGAATGTGGGTCTCTGCTCCATAGAAGGGGGCCGTTGTCCTAAATTGTCGAGACATTGTTCTATTCTGACTGGCTTCCCATATCTTCAATGTTGAAAATGAATATGATGAGAGGAGGTTAACACAATCTATCACAGATGCGACGTGACCCCGTACTGTGGTGATATCACAAGTGAAATCATTGTGCAATAACATTCAGGCTTTCCTCTCGACTCGCCTCTACAGATGATAGCTTTGTTCTTCCTTAATGCATACTATATTGTAATTTACATATCTATGCTAACATATGCAGCCATTTGTATTGGCACTTTCAGTTTTCCTCCCCTTTTGTCTTGTATTTTTATAGAAATAAGCTTGTATGGCTTGGGTTTCAGATAACACAAAGCTTGCAAATACCCACAATCTTCCAATCTTTTCAGTTGTGTAGTACAAACACATTAAGGGCTAGTCGCCCCGAAAGGAAAGAGGACCCGCCCTGTAGTGTTTGCTGCCTTCGAGATATATGATGCGTTTATTGGGGGGCACAGGTCAATGGAACAGGGTGGGGTGCTCTAGTGGGAGAATTGTCCCCTGTTTTTGTCCCCCCATGTGTCTCCTCTGTCACAGCATTGTTGAGAGGTCGGGACAGTCTCGGCTCAATCCTCCCACACCTTGGGAAAAACGCACACTGTGGTATTGTTCCAGCCAGTGGGGACAGACTGGTTGGGTGAGGGTGGGATACAGTAGATGGGCTCGTTGTGGAGATGGCCTCGAGGCAGGGCTGGTCATGGGACTGCTTAAATGAGTGTGTGGTTTGTTGAGACAGGGGTGCAGGGAGCCAGGCGACATGTCTACATAGAAGGTAAACAAAAAAACATTATGGCCTGTATCAATAGGCTTTAAATGTTTTGGGGTACCACTTTAATGATACCAGGTTTTCAATACTGGATAGTTTTTTTCTATAAGTTGGATGGCAGAACACACACTCAAAAAACAAATACAGCAATAACGCATATTTGCACGTGTAAAAATGTTTGGTAGAGTTCACACATCTGTTGTACATCCTTGCATAGCTGAAGGAACAAAACATCTTATTTTAAAATGTTTCATTCTGTAGCACAGTGAGAGGAGCCTGTTGCTACGGTTACTCCTCTGAGCTGCCATAGTATCATGCAGAGGTCTGGAGTTGCTCTGGATGCCCTGCACAAGAGTCGACATCTTCTCTCCAGCTCAGCTCCCACAGAGTCCACATGTTTCCTGATCAGCCAGTCTAACCAGTTACTCTCCTCAGGTCAAACTGCCGCCCCAACAAACAACCCCAAAGAAAACAACACTGATCGGGTGTGTAGCATCTAGAGTCACAAAAAAACCTAAGCCGCCTCAAGAGCAAGACCCTGCTCTTTCAAACTGATTTCTTAACTGGACTGTTAATTTGTCCATTTTGTTAACGTGGACCACTTATTTTTGTTCATTAAATGCCAGATCATAATTTTCATCAAATGTAAAAAATAAACGTGGTGTATGTTTCAATGGTTTAAGGCTTAGAAGGTTCTTTCAATCAGACTGACTGTGTTAAGAAACTATTAATGCTGAATTATCTTGTACATGTTTGTTTATTACATGTTTCGGCGGGAGACTTCTGCTTTCGTCACTCGTGTGATTGGGTGACGCCTCTTATCAGCTGTTGTTACCAGATTTTCATCATTTATCAGGCCAAACTGTCAAGTAACTTCCAGTATGCACTCCCAGAATTCATTATCCTAAAACATTAGGAATTAAACTATTCATTGAATCAAATGATTCAATAAAATAACTAAAGTTTTGCTCAAAGTTTGATTGTGTTGATAAAAAAACAAATCATGTGAAACCTCAGCGCACAGAACAAACTGGTGCATTTCAGAGATGTGTCAATGATGCGGACAAACGCTTGTCTAAAAGGGGTATGCAATATGTATTTGAGTATTTTGGTTTTTTAGGTATGTTATAAGGCAGCTTTTAGTAAATGTCCAGCTTTACATCAATCAACATTATATGAGCAAAGAATAAAGATCTTCATTTGCCTTCATCTCTTCATGAGAAACATTCTTGAAGTTAATATTTCCCACTATTGTCTCTTGGACTGGGGCAGGTTTAGTGTTGACAGCATCTGCTGCGCAGGTTCCAACTGCACTCACACGTGGCACATCTGGAGAAAGGATGAGCTGCTTCAGTACCAAGCCGTCCTTGTGCACAAGGTCCAGAGTGGCACCTCCCCAGGCCTCGCCCCGCTTTGGATGCAGGAGTCAATACTCTTTTTATTAAGGCAAAACGAGCAAAGGAATATGTTTACAAGTTCCATTAAATTAAACTGCCTTGAAAAATGCATTATACGTCTCAAGAGATTGCAAACAAATTGATCTAGACCAAATCCAGTCCTAAAAGACCTTTCCTTTCTCTAGTCTCCACCTGACAACCGCCTCCAGAGCCTTTGAAGTGTATATCATCGTCTAATTTGTATCACTCTGTGCTGCGCTCGCCCACAGAAGCGAGCCTTTCTCTGACTCTGTAATAGGAGCAAGTCGTGAGTGCACAGGCCTTTCACAAAGACCTACAGTGAGTGGACAATGAGCCTGGGGGAGAACATGCAGCATTGTCAGGCTAAAATGGGGTGACCCGCTGCCTTTCCTGCTCCCCCTGCTCTACATTCTCCTCCACCCATCGTCTTCTACTCGCTCAAGGTCTCTGTCGACTCTCACTAGTTTCTTTGTATGTCTCTTATCAGTGTTCTTTTTAACACTACAATTTCACATTGCATCAATACTGTATCTGTTCGGTTCAGATGTAGATTCTGGCTCCTTTTTAAAAATGAAAGTCTGCCCTTTTGAAAATACTCTTTCAGTGGGAAGTTTTTTGGTTTTTTTTGTTTAGTTTTGACCAAGGTCAGTTTACCAGCCCGATAAAGTACAGATGAAGTTAGGGGAGTCTCAATAGCCAGAGATTTGTTATGACTTCATGTTTTTGTAAATGAATGGTACCCTCACATGTGAGGGTACCATTACTCTGATCATATTTGTCAAAGACGTGTTGTGTGGGGCACTGGTATATCTGGTACAGAGCCTCCACTTGGTTGTTCCCCGCATTGAGCAGTGAATGTGTAGCAGGATTGAATGTAGGTCTGTGTGAGGCTGAGGGCAGTGCTCATATCCCCCCTCTTATCTCATCTTGATTCTGTGTCTCTATATTCCATCTCATCCCTGGCCCTCGCTCTAGTCCAGCTGTGGCAGAGGCCGATAAGCCCCCCTACTATCCTCTGTGCGGGCTGCACAGAGCTGCTCTGTGCGGTGGGGGCAGGGACTGGAGGGGACCTCAGAGAAATGGATTTAATCTGAATTAGTCGGCCTGAAACCCCAGCTGTGTACGTGTGGGCCGTTTGTGTGTGCAGCCGAGATGGAGAGTGGGGGCAAAAATGCAGGGCTCGAGCAATGTGAATTATTCTGGATTAGGACATCTGCTGTGTAATTCTAAAATGAGCTAGAGATGCTACTGCGCAGAACATAAGCTTTGAGGCTGACTTCTACATAGTCAGAGGCACATGCTTTTAGTACAATATACATCCTACTCACTCACTAACTGCTCTGATTAAATCTGATGAGTTTTGTCTGTGTACCCATGGCTTTCCTCTTCTCTGTCCCACTCCTTCCCTGTGGGAGAGCTCGTTCTACGTACACCAGTTGCTAAAGAACTTGCTAAAGAAGTGGTGAAGGCCAAACTATTGGAATATTAATGGTCTAATTAACATATATGAGGCTTGAGGTGTAAGCTTAACAGGTGATAGTGTACTGGTGAATATCCTCACAGAGCTGTGTGATCCTACACAAAAAGTTAATGAGTCTTTTGTGCACATCCCCCATTGTTGCAGAAGCCGTCAGACCAGTTTAGGTCTGTGACAGGTGCACTGTTGCCTCACTGAGCCCTATGTGCACTGATATTGTTGTAATATTACTTTTTATCTCTTACAGGAGCCAGTACGCAACTCTGAAAACACCAGTCCCTCCACTAACTGCTCAGAAGAAGATTACCGCATCAAACCCAACGAGAACTCTTACTGTTACCAGCTGCTGCAGGAGCTGGACAATCAGCGAAAGAGTGGCATTCTGTGTGACGTCAGCATTGTGGTGTCAGGACAGGTGTTCAGAGCACACAAGAATATCCTGGTGGCCGGGAGCCGCTACTTCAAGACCCTGTACTGTCTGACCAAGGGCGATGCCCAAGACCACTCCACGATCACCCACCTTGACGTGGCTGCGGTACAGGGCTTCTCCGTCATCCTTGACTTCCTCTACTCTGGGAACCTGCTGCTCACAAGCCAAAACGCCATCGAGGTCATGTCAGTGGCCAGTTACCTGCAGATGACAGAGGTGGTCCACTCATGCAGAGCTTTCATCAAAGACGCCCTGAACATCAGCATTAAGCAGGAGGCCCCTGACTCTGTTGTAGTGGACTACAACAAGAGGCAGACCGTGACCAAAGAGGGACAAAAGGGTCTGGACCGCAAACCAAGCAATTTCTGGGCCACAAGCATCCTGTCTAAGCTCTCAATCAAGGCAAGCAACAGCCAGGGCAAAGAGGAAGTGTGCAGCAGAGTGAAGGAGGAGCCCAGTGATGTGGAGGTGACTCTGGGGGAGGGCTGTGCCCTGGTGACCCCTGGAGCTTCTGGCAACTGGTCCAACCAGAGTGACAGCTCACCCAACACGGCAGAAATCAATGATAGCCGGGCAGCCGGCGCCCAGATGCAGGTTTTTGTCTGGAACCAGCCACCCACAGGGAGTGCTGCCGCCGCTCCTTCTGCAATCAAGAGGGAACCAGCTGATGGAGTTGCAGGCAGTGGCCGCAGGAAAAAGCAGACCACTACCCGACGATTTGTGTATAACTTTCCCCCAGAGCCTGAAGAGGGCTTTGACGAAGGCATGTTTGTCCAACCATCTGCCTCCTACCCTCGAGAGGACCTCTCCACGCTCTCAGAAAATGCAGGTAAAACACAGAAGTTCAGTACAGTGTTAGTGGAGCTCCTGCAGAAGTCAGTCATGTTCAAGCGAATTGAAAATAACTTCTTTCTGTCTTGAGCTCATCTCAGTCTTCTCTGATTCATGTTTATAACAGTTCTTTATGCTAGTGCTCTCTGGGCTCCATCAGGCTCAGCTCCTTATAATGATATCTCTGCTGTATTAAGTGGAGTGTGGGGGAGGTGGGGGAGTGAGGGCGCTCTAATGCAGGATAATGAAGAAAGGGGAGACGCTTCTCCCTCAGGCCTCTCCCTAAAAGCAGCCCAATGCTCTTAGTGCCTGTGCTCTTCTACACAGTGCAGCATACACAACCATAGCTCAGTGTGTTTAGCACTCCTACTCTCCTCATCATGGATTATTTGTGTCTTAAAATGTGAATGTACGTAACTTTTACCAAATAAAGACACTGTTTGAGCCACATAGTGAACACTAAGTCATAGTAAAAAGCTTGAAGGCAGGTGTTTAACTCTAAATTATACTTTAAACTTAGGAAGTTAGAACATTTATTTCAGGTAAATGTTGTCTATGCTGAGTGAGTAACTAAGGTTGTTAGTAACAAACTAAGGTTGTTAGTAACAAACTAAGGTTGTTAGTAACAAACTAAGGTTGTTAGTTAGTAACTAAGGTTGTTAGTTAGTAACTAAGGTTGTTAGTTCGTAACTAACTAAGGTTGTTAGTTCGTAACTAACTAAGGTTGTTAGTTACTACAAAGCATTTTGTAGTTAGTAGTTTAATAGTTTGTCTGATCATTTTAGCAGATTTCTGTTTGTCACACTGTACTGCTTATATTCGCTAGAAGCTTCAGACATATGACGGCATAGTCCATGGTCGTGTTCATAATTAGTTAAACAGCAGTAATATCACAGTATATGTTCTCACATTTCTGTGTGCCAAGCCCTGCTCATGCAGCCAGTAAATAGTTGGTTTTCTCTCCAAACAGACGCAATGTTCCTGTTTTTATAAGGGCCAGAGTAGGTACACTATTTGCATACAGACTTGTCAGTTAAACCACACGTGGGGAACAATACACCCCTGACCAATAGGGTGCAGCCCCCTAATAGAACACTCTTTGCTCGCCTTTACGGCTTCCCAAGCTTGTTGGCTCACACACAGGCTCACGTCAGCAGATCACCAACGTCTGCTGGATATCTGGAGACCAGCAGAAGTGTAAGTGGAGCTCAGAGACTGAATAACCCTCCTACTCTGTGCCGAGGCGTGCTGCATGTACCTCTGTTTTACATACTGTAGACTGAGGGCGGGGCTGGGCTGTTTACTTATGTTGTTAGCTTCCATTGTCTCATTTGTGTGTGCTGAAGGGGGTAGTGAATGTACACAAGGCGTTGTAAGGTGTCCAACCCAATGCAACCACCTCTCATCTCCTTGGTTTATGCCCTCCCTTTTTTTCAGAGCTGGCCAATCAGATTCAGTACAGCATCATCCAACACCTACAGCCGGGAGAAACCTGGGAGAATGGTAAGGGACTGGACCGATAGAAATTGCCAGAAAAGTTGGGCTTTGCTGAATCTTAAAACGCACAAGTGCGGTCAACACTTAAGTGTGTACTCGGTGAATCCACAGGTGACCTGCTTCTCATCAGCCCTCTTCCCCATAGCAACCACCCTGACGACGCTTGTGTTGTTCCTTAAACAAAAGGCAGGGCCTGTTCCCCTCTTCACAGCAAACAAGCCCTGCTTTACTCAAAATCAATAGGATGTTTGTTGGAAAACTGCCAGCTGTCCGCTTCAGCTTGTTGGCATAAATATGGCCAACAGAATGCTTGGTAATCAATGACTAATTCTCATTGGGACTAGGCAAGCTGGAGAGACTGTTGAAGTTATAGACATTCAAATGACTTTGTACTTTGAATCGGTTCCAATCCTCTAAATCTAAGTATCTTCTCAAAATAAGTGGACCTCCACTATGATGCCATGATGCATCTTCTACTTCTTTGTGGTACCCTTTCATCACATTTGCTAGTCAAATGTCCACATTTTCATTGGCCTTTCTGAGACATTTGAAAGAGTTCATGCTACTTCATTTCTTGTCAACTTTGTTTGTTTAACCCTTGGCCAGATGAATATAGGCTCTGCTTTATTCCTTAGGCGAGTCGTCACATCTCACCCCCAACAAGCTCAAGTGCCCCCACTGTAACTACGTCGCTAAGCACCGGCGCACGCTGAAGAGGCACCTGATCATCCACTCGGGCGTGCGCTCCTTCAGCTGTGACATCTGCGGAAAACTGTTCACCCGCCGCGAGCACGTCAAGAGACATTCCCTGGTAAACTACATAACTAATAACATATGAGCACCATGGACTAAGCATAAAAGATGCAAAACATTGTTGACAGAGCAGTTCATGATCCCACTTTAAAGAAAGTATTGTATGTTTGCATTATATTTGGTATTCCTAGTCGCCAGTGCACTATGATCACAATTTAATTTGAACATTCAAAACGTTTCAAGATTTCCTTTCCATCTTGTATGATTTGTTTCAACCAAAAATGTCTTTTTCCACTTAGTAACTGGTCCACTGGTTTTCAGTCTATAACAAAACAATACAAACACGGCAATCACTAAACAACACTTAAGGTTAAAGATAATTTGGATTTTTTGTTTATGGAATTCAATCCCTTTTCAATAAAAAAAACTATTACATTCATTTGATATATTATGTAATTATCAACAAAGAAATAAATAACATACATTGTTCTTGATCTTCCTCCAGGTGCACAAGAAGGACAAGAAGTACAAGTGCATGGTGTGTAAGAAGATCTTCATGCTGGCGGCGAGCGTGGGCATCCGGCACGGCTCGCGGCGCTACGGCGTGTGTGCGGACTGTGCCGATTCTCACCAGGCCACGCAGGTGGGGCTGGATGCCATGGAGGCCATGGAATTTCCCCGTGACGAAGACTTTGATGGAGAGGACGACCTGGACCCAGAGGAGCCTATTGACAATGACCAATCGAGCTGGGGCAACGCTGGTGTTGCCCTGGAGGACTAGATCTACTGAGCTTAGTCCCATCAGTTGATGTTTCATACACGTAAACAAAAACAAGCTGTAAACAATCAACTCCAAAGTGCTATCAAACCTTGAGTCAACCTAATTGTGCAAGAAAATGACAAAGATTGAAAAAGCTTTGGGTAGAGATGTACAGAAAATATTATTGTGTGTCCAATGTCGGGCCCAGTGTCCACATGAGAAAGAATCAAAAGATAAATTATACACGGATCAGGTGAATTCTGGTGTTTTAAAAAATGTATTTCCTTTTTTTATTCTAAGTTGGGTCGGGTGCTGATTTAGTTTTTGAGTTGGGTTTGGCCAATCATCTGAAAGAGAGAAATGTTAATTATTTAATTTATGAAGAGCTTTTTATGGTCTTATCAAATGCTATTATTTGTATGTGTTGTTTGTCTGTAGCGGGGCAGTGTGCCCTGATGCTCAGTGCTTGTAGAATGACACAGAAGAGCCATGTTGCCGAAAGGTGCATGTGCTCTCTAGATCTATGTTTAAATGCGCTAAATGTTGTTTTATTCTTTTTATGTTTTCTATTTTACTTTTTTTCCCTGCACAAATCTTGGAACCAAAAAATCTGTTTTGTGACTCTAATGATTCCCAGCCATATTTATGATTAAATTAAGAGGGCTGTGATCTTGTGCCAAACAGACCGCACACCAAGATTTTGCAGGCGATTATAAAAAAAAAAAACTACTGAATACGCTTAAAGAAAATGTGTATAAAAAGAGTGGGCAAGGGGAAAGGTTTATTGCTAGCTTTATACAAATCACGGCGTCACAGTAACACTTTATTAAACTAAAGCATTTGACTTTCACTTAAAAGCTTGAATTTTGCCAAATGATGAAACGTTTGGTGCTGTAATGCTTGTCGCAGAATACTGGACCTATAGACTATATATGAGGAGACTCGGTTAAATGTAATGTAATCTGCTTCTATTGTTGACACTGTTTGCTACAGCGACTATCAGGTATGCCACGCCATTGTTTTTGTAAGCTTTTATTTAACGCACACACACAGACACATACCATTTTGTAAGTCTACCGGCCGTACTTATTAAGAGGACCTAACACCATCCATAATATGTTTGGTACTGAGTTGTTTTTGAATCACTTGAACGTTGCTTGTGAGGAGGGGCGGCACGATGTCTTTCCAGTTTCAAAAAACTCCATGTTTGAAAAGAAAAAAAAACCAAAACTGTTTTCATTTGTTTGGAATTTGAATTTGCTGTACGTCTGCCAGGGAGAATACACTTTGTTCCATGAAAAGTGAATGGCGCCTCATAGACATGCACTTACTTTTGCAAGAATAATTATGTTTTGTATTTTGTTTTCCTCCCCCCGAAAGCGGGTCTGAAAGGAACTATATGAAACTGTTGTTTTTCTGTCTCTTTTTTTAAACTTTCATTTGTTATTTAACATTATATATATATTGACTCCAAAATGCAATCAAGACTGTTAATAATTTCTATTTGTCCAACCAAAATTTTGTTTTTAATTATGTATAAGAAAAAAGCCAGGTTGCGTAGTGTAGAGACTCCTTGCTTGTGTCTGTACTTGTTGAGATTTTTCAAAGTTTTTATGCTTCAGAATCATTCACTTTACTTAGACAATGTTTTTAATGATTTTCCACAGATCTTTCCTGTTTCCTTTAATTTCCTTAAGCACATATTTTGTACAGAGAAAAAGGATTGTTTGCGGGTTTATGTGGAACAGCAGTATCTGTTCTTATGCAGTGGAGGATGTACTAAGTGCTAATGCTACAAACGTGTGATTTCCCTTTACTCTTAGTGAAAGATATTTCTATCGACGTCTGCATCCTCATCGTGTCACTTTCCCTTCAAATCACTGTGGGCTTATAGGCTTATATTATACATAAATAAATATATATATATGTTGAGACTTTATGAGAAGAATATATATATATATATATATATGAAGATTATATTATTTAACTCGTGAGTTTAATGAACGCTTTGGCTCCACAAATCTCTATGTCAAGGTGAAGTATCTGTCCACGCTGCGTGCTTGTTGACCACATCATCCTGTTCTATTTGTTCTTTTGATACTATTTTGCACCCTACTGATTTCACTGTAATGAATGAAACTCAAAAGTCCCATGTATCATTTTACAATGTTATGCTGTATTTGTTATATGGACAAAGAAGAAAAACTCAAACACTACAGATGTAAAAGCAGAGGTTTTATTCCCCCGGCTGTATTTTTTTACGCTGTTTTCGGCAGATAAAGGTTGTATTTTTCAATTGTCTCGAACATAAACAGTGATGCAAATCGTCGGGCCTTACCTCAGTGCCCTCCGAACACAGATTCAGGTTACTCTTTTTACGTTTTTATCAAAAGTTTTCCAAGATGGAACTACATTCTCCTTTTTTTCTGTCTGAATTGTACTACTGTTCCTCTATACTACATTTTAAGAATAAAACTTTGATATTGCTTTAAACTACAATGCCTGTTCCACCATTTACTGTCGTACATAATAGGAAATGTTTGTCTCTTGTTTACTTTACAGCTCTGTAAAGGGATTTTTAATATATAGCAGGTTTCATACTAATACAACACTCAGAATATTACATTTCTATAAGTGTACCTCAAGTTTATATTTTGCAAGTAATTTAAAAGTCTGCATTCCACTTCAGATTTTATTTTTTCTCAGTGGTCCATGGTGCTGAACTGCTTAAATGGTTGGCTGGAATAACCCAAGACTAAACCGGGCTACCATTGTGGTCCCCAGGCAAGTGTATTGACTGTCACTCGCTCAGTGCTGCCACCTGCTGTTCAGATTATATTCAAACATTATTTTTCTCTGATGACCAATTGTCAACACTAGGGGGCAGTGTTTCCATATAAATTGAGCACCACACTCAGAAAAGTGTTGCTGTGCTGATTGGTTGATAGTGATTGAGTGTTAAACACAGATACACACGCACACGTCACTTTTCTAAACACATATATAACAGACTGTTGGACTGGAACCATGGGCTGCAAAGCTTTTTATTATATTTATAATCTTTTAACCATGCAGATTTTTTCTTCTTGTTTTATTCACCTCTGACATATGGAGCACTTTTTCCATAATATTAACAACTATTTTGCCTGTACACATTATACACATGAGAAAACCCTTTCATGATAATGTGGCATTTAGAGTTTGATATCAGAGAGACGGAGCAGTGTCTGCCGCTCACTGGAGTCCTCTCCTCATGATGTGTGACTATCTGGAGTCAGCATCAGGATTCCTCATGGAGGACAGACTGAGGCCAATGAAGAATGCATTCAGACTGCAGTGGGATTCTGTGTGACTTTAGTTACAGTTCAGGCCATACTCAAGACAACATCCATCATTCAAATGTATAATGTTTGGATACATGACTTATTTTGTAACCTTGTCTTCAAAGCCCAATCAGGTTTTTATTTATTTATTTAACATCATTGTATCATCTGGTATTTTCAGTTCAGGTCTAAACCACAGACAGCAGGTGGGAGGGGAGGTGATTGGGGGTTTTACAGGGGCTATTGTACTGTTAGTGGTAGGGGAAACCGGAGCATCTAGAGGAAACTTGCGTGCACACGGGGAGAACATGCAAACTGCACTCAGAAAGGCTATGTGCCAACCAGGATTTGAACCCAGCACCTTCTGGCTTGGTGCTATAACTGCTAACCACTGAGCCACTGTGCAGCCAGAAAAAAATTCCCAATAGAGCATGATAGTGATGACTGTCTTAAATTCAAACACATGGGTGACACAGTGGATAGCACTTTTGCTTCTCAGCAAAAAGGTCCTGGGTTCAAATCCCAGTTGGAACAGTGTCTTTCTGAGTGGAGTTTGCGTGTTCTCCCCGTGCCTGAAAACATACACATTAGGTATAATGTTCCAGCTCTCTGGTCCTGACTAAGCCAAGCATCGATATCTGGAGATGGATCCCTGGGCACTGTTACTACGGCGACCACTGCTCCTGACAGACGCCCTAGGATGGGTCAAATGCTCATGGATTTCCCTATGGGGATAAATAAAGTGCACATTTACCTTTACACTGGACTTAAGCATCAACAAATCAAGCCAAAATCTCTAACAATATATCAGAGTAAAGATGTTGTGTCTTGAATGTAAAGTGAGATGAAAGTTTAGCCTATTTGTTTAAATATCAACAACTTGACGTATTCTCCTCAGTGCATGTGTGTGTTGGTGTGCGGATGTGGGAGCACATGAGCCGTCTTCCCCATTCACCGCCGCCTTTGTGCTGGTGTCTGTCAGTGGTGTTGTTCACTGGCAGGCCCCCATTGTGTTCAACCACTGCTCCTTATTGACACAAGACCCTTGGCGCTCCGTGTTCCCATGGCCCCCCAGCTGTGGCGGACGGAAGGCTGAAACTGAAGCCTTAAACCTGGGGAGAATTTGTCTGAGCTCCCCCTCCACCCCCCTTCCCCTCTCTCTTCTCTCCCTCCTCTGGTGCTCCTGGGGTTTTCGGTCTGCAGACACAAGGCAGAACGGATGCTATTGTGTGTGAGTGGTGTGTCTGAATGTCAGTGTGGAGGTGACAGGCAGTCGTGTGGTCAGAGAGAGAGAGAGAGTGAGAGAGAGAGAGTGAGAGAGAGAGAGGGTTGAACTTGAAGGTCCGCTCAGAACCACGGGTCAATGGCAGAGCAAACATTAATGGATTCATGTCAGAAGATTATACTCTGATCTGTTTTATCTTCTCGATGACCCGCTGTGACCCCACACTGGTTTTGAGGCAAATCTGGTTCCCATGCACAAAGAGTTATCAGCATGACCACCCCTTTAACTCAGATCATCTGTGAGCAAGTAAGACCTGCTATGAGCTGGAGCTACAATGGGCTCCAACTGATGGTGGTTTATGGACAGTCCCTACACTAAAAGCAACGTCAATTCTAATCTTAATTAAGTGACTGTGTAGACTTATATCTCTGGTAGAGTCTGGCAACTTTCACCCTCCATTTGAACCCCTCTGA